GATTGACGCTCATGCAGATGGCATATTTAAGCCCATCCTCCCATCAGCAATCTCCAAATGGCATCTGTAAGCCCATTCCCAACATCACAAGGCTGATACCACTTCATGCGAGTGCAAATTTCTGGGCACTCTAGTGTTCAATCATCTTCCACCTTCGGATCACGAAAGGCACGAAAGCCAATCTACATTCTCAGGTTTAAGAAGATTGAACAGGGGCAGTTGTTGTACCCCAAAATTTTCCCTCTCATATTCCTCAAAACATTTCAAGAAAAATCTCCAAGTGGCTCAAGGTTGCTCAAGAGTGGGTCAGACAAATCACCTCTTAAGGCAGTCAACCCCAAAATTAGGGTTTTGTGTTGCAACAAGATCTTTGAATCCAAATGACCTGAAGTGCTCCCCAATGTCCTAATATGTTCTCAAGATCATCCATGTCAAGTTTCAAGCCTTGCAGGGAAAGTTTGCTCAGTCAATTGCTCAAGGGGCCCAAAAATCGACTGTGTTAGGGCAAAAGTCAACTATGACCTACAAACAGTCAAACCTCAATATTTTTTGTCAACATTCTCATTTTTAAGTATATTGCATCATTTGATCAATGGTTGATCATGATTCATCAAGGATTGCTCAAAATTCTTCAAGACTCAAAAGTTGCTAAATTAGGGTTTTGTAGGAAAAGTCAACTCAACTTTGAACAAGCATAACTTTCTCATGATTTATGAGAAATGACCCATTCAAAGCTCATTTTTAAGAGGATGCAATTTCCTACAATCCATCTTCATACCCCAAGATCAAAAAAAGCACACACAAGAAGTTATAAATTTGGACATTATAGGTCATTTTTGAAAGTCAACAAAAACACCTTTTTTGCCAAAGCTTATAACTTGAGCATGGAATATCAAAATGATATTAGACCAAAAGGGTTGGTTATAGGACATCTCAAGCTTTCTAAAAAGTCCAAGAAAACTTCCAAAAGTTCAAAATTGAAGAAGTTATGCATTGTTGAAGTTGGACATTTTTGCAAAATTGCCAAAAGTCAACTATCCCCAAAACTTCAAATTTTGTCAAATGGGCCCATTCTTTTCCACTTGATTTGAGCTTACATCATTGCACACATGTCCTAGATTCATCCATGAGCTCATATTTTATGTTTATTATTTTATTTGATTTTTTATTGAATTTATTCATTTTTAATCAAATAAAATCATATAAAATCCCAAACTTTGATTACATGAGATCTTTTTGCTATTTCAAGTCTTGATTATCATCATTAACATCATCAAAATTCGTATCAAGCAATCCATGTACAAAAGATTGAAAATTGGCAAATTTGGAAGGTTTAGTAATGGAGAATCAAATCAAATTGGAAATCATTATTGGAGCAAGATTTGAATCAAGTTTGTTACCCTGATACATTCCACACTACATAAACAAGTCAAAGGGACGTGAATAAGGGTTGGAGGCTGCAGAAAGAAGCAGAACAAAGTTGGGAAAAAGTGATAAAAATCTTGAAATCGAATCCATAGCTAAAGACATTTTCAGAAGCCAAGACATATCTCAATCGTTTCTTGGGTGTCCACACAAGCGATCAGGATCAAAGGCAAGCATTCTCAGACCTTCACAAGCGCTGTAAGTGTCATGATAATCACCTTGGTTCTTGAATTTGGTTTGATCTATTCTTGCATCTATAACAAAAATTAACTGCATATTCATGATCACCATGTCATTTGCTAACCTTCTATAATAGCCAATTCCATTTATAGGCGTTGTAACTCCAAAACACCATAGCTAGGGTTACGTTTTGTTTTTTAGGGATTCTTATTTCAGGTGAAATTGGTGCATATAATGGGCATGGTTGCACTCAGGAAAAGGAGACGAACCCAACCATGCCCTTGAAAGTCATTCTTATTGCCTGGAAGTGATTTTTGGATCGAGTTGCGTTTTTAGCTGCGGATTCAAATCCGCAGGTAAAATTACAGTAGTGGAAGGACAAGGACGAAGAGCTGGCAGTCGCCCATTGGCCCGTTCAAATGGCGCGCGCTATTTTATAATTTTTCTGGCCTTTGACTTATTTTCTTTTATTATATATTATTTGTATATTATTAACAAACAAAACCAAGTAGCCTAGTGGTGAGCGTGTACATCCAATATCCTACAGGACCTGGGTTCGAATCCCAGGTCCCCGAAATTTCTATTTGATTTTTTCTTTCAGGAAATCGTGTGTGTAGTTCAAGCGCGCAACCCACTATAGTCCATCAAGCATCCAGTGGCCAGATGGCCAAAGGCCAAATCTGAGGGTCTGAGCTGAAGGTCCACCATGAGCATTGGTCAACGCATGCACACTGAATCAGGAAAGTCAACGAGGCCAGCTCAATTGGGCCACAGAGTTGCTTCTCAAACCACCAAAATCAGGCCCAAACCCCTTTTCTTTTCTATTTTATTTATTTAGTTTTATTAATTGTTTTTATTGTTTTATTTAATTTACTAACCAATTAAAAAATCCTTTTCTTGATAAAATAAAATCACAAAAATATTTTTATGTTTAATCAAATTTTAATTTTAATTTTAATAATAAATACTAATTAAATTGATTTAGGGTTTTAATTAGAATAACTTTAACATCTTTTCGTAAATAATTAAAATTAACTAGACTTAATTAGGCTTTTACTAATTCAATTAATTTTATTTTCTTTCTTAAAATACCAAAAAAACCAAAAAAAAATATTTTTACTAATTAATTTATTTATTAATTTAGTAATTAATTTAGGTTAATTTCTTTCTTAAAATAAAAATAATAAAAAGATCTCTTTTTTAACCAAAAAGGGTCAAAACCCTAATTTGCGCTCGATTTACTTTCCCGCACGCAATTTACTTTTTTTTTATCATATTAATGTACTTGCCTCCAGTTTGTAATAGCTTAATAGGACCTTTATTTATCTTTTATCGCTTTATTTATATTTAAAGGGTTTGTCTTTAGCGATGTAAATACCCGACGCCTTGTAATTTAAATTCCGCATTTTATTTCCCGCAAATTATAACTGTTAGATGTTTGATAATATGATGGCATGACAAGACTGAATGTTTTAACCTAAAAATTGACTTAGATCACCCTTAATATGTACAAAGATAAAATTGACTGAAAACGACACACTCGCACTCTTAGGGTACACCCCACTTGGTTGCCTTCGTACGCGGTCATTGAGTATTAGTCACTTTAGAGGTCGCCCTCTTGTATAAAAGATCATAGTCGCCTCGAAACGGTTGCCTCAGATATTGTTGCCTCAAACAAATGATCTAAGACATTAGGGTTACCGCTAAGGCGTCCTAACATTGCTTTGGTGACCGCACGTCCCTCATTCGAATTGACCCTTAAACTCCAACGACAGTGCTACCTACTCACTAATAGTGGGATAGCATTGTCTAAAGGAAACAAATACAGAACGATTCTTTTTTCGAGTAGGTAGATTAGTTCTTAAGTACTTGCTCATTCAAAACAAACTTTTTCACACTTACACTTTTTGAACAAAGTTTTCAAAAACACTTCATACACTCTTAAGAACAGAAGCAAGAGTTAAATCGAAGTTTTCAAAACAAAAAATTTTTCAAACCCACAAGCACAAAGAAAGCAATTTTTGAAAACAATTGAGCAAGTACCTAAGAGCCCGTGGATAACCACAGATAGAAAGGGTGCTAACACCTTCCCTTTCTATAATCTACCCCCCGAACCCGAGAAATATCTCAAAAAAGGAATTTTTCTGTGCTTTTTCCTTTCCTTGTTGGATAAAATAAAAGTCGGTGGCGACTCTTGCTTACCGCGACATTTTGCAAACAAAAAACGCAAAACACAAACCAGCATTCCAAAAAACAGTCAGTTCTTCCCACCGTATCACAATCCACTATCAGGTTGGTTGGCCAATGATTGTCCAATAAAGTGTTATCATGTAACCAATTTTGACCCTAAATTGGAATGTTCTTTTCCTATCCGATACTCCACTTATATCCACCTCGTACAAAAAATTATGAACTACAAATGCTCCACCATACATAATCGGGGTTATGCCTGATGTCTGAATCAAGGAATTCACATTTAGGAAAATACTTAGCCTTGTAGAGATGAGTGGCTAAGTTAGCTAGCTTTTTCATGAAACTCCAAACTTGTTTACCAAGCATAGCATAATTGAAGGCACTTAGATTTTTGAAACCTGTACCTCAATCATTTTTAGGCATACATAAATGTTCCCAAGATTTCCAATGTATACCTTTAGCCCGATCTTAATTATGCTCTCACCAAAAGGAACTCATCATTTTCTTAATTCCATCACTTAAATAGGATGGAAGCAAGAATATACTCATAATATAAGTAGAAATAGATTGGAGAACAAATTTAATAAGATTTTCTCTCCCTACCTGAGATAGACTCCTACTACTTCATGAGTTAATATTTTTCTAAATTCTATCTTTTATAAATTTGAAAGTTGCTTTTCTGGTTCTACCAATCATAAAGGTAAATATGAGGTACTTACTTGTCCCTAAAACTTATTGAACTCCTAAAATATTATCCATTGTATTCTTTACATTAGGATCTAACATTCCTACTGAAAAAAATTTAGATTTTGAAAATTGATGGATTGGCCGAAACTTCTTCATAAATGGAAAGAGTACTTTTCAACACATTTGCTTCGTTAATAGCCGCTCTGAAGAAGAAAAAAATCAATCATCGACAAAAAGTAAATATGATACGATAGGAGCATTCTACATATTGTAAATGTCGTGAATATCCTCATAGCTTCTACTTGCTTGATGAGTGTTGATAGACCTTAATAACAAAGGATAAATAAGTACGGGGACAACGAATCACCATACCTCAATCCCTGGACAGGAATAATAGGCCCTACCATATTACCATTAATAACCACTAAGTAGTCCATTATTTACATACAAAGCATGACCCAATCTATCCACGTATGGCTGAAAATCATTGTGGCAAGAATATCCTTGAGGTAATCCTAGTCAATCTTGTCATAAGCTTTACTGATATCAAGCTTAAGAGCTATATTACCATTTTTACCCATTGTTTTAGACATCATATGATGTACCACCTCAATAGAGGCCATAGCATTATCCATAATAGATCTATCAAGAACAAAAGCTAATTGGTTATCTGAAATGCACTTGCCAATAACTCTTTTAAGACGATTTGCTAGAACTTTAACTATCACTTTATATTGAATATTGCACAGTGCAATCAGTGTCCAATATTTCATGGAATTTTGAAATTTTCCCTTTTGAATTATAGTGATTTTAGTCATATTAAGGCTAGATGAAAAAACACCATTCTCCAACCAAGAGCAACTTGCACTGTAACTATATATCCCACAAGTATCCCATAATTGATGATTGAAACCAGGAATGAAACCGTCAGGACCATGACTCTTGTCGACTTACATAGAAAAAATAACTTTTTTAAATTCTTCAATAACAAAATATGTTGTCAACATATTATTATCCTTATCTAAAATAGAGGTTCCTAAAGCATGCAAAACCCAATCTCGAGAACTTGACTTCTTCTGAAATAACTCAGTAAAATAATCATGAGCATTCCTTTTCATCCCTTCAGTAGAAGTACTAACTTCCCCATTTTCATTTGTCATTCAAAGAATAATATTTACTTTCTTCCTAGCAGTTGTTGTAATATGAAAAAACTGGGTATTAACATTGCCATTCTTTTACCAGTGAGCTTTTTCTCTTTGTTTCCAAAACATATCATCTTTTACCAAGAGATCATTCGGACGTTATTTGAGAGCTGTGAAATAATTAATATTTCCTTCACCAACATGATGAAAAACTCTTCAATCTTCCAACAAAGTATCTCAATTTCCCTTCTAATCTTGTGACAATTATCTTTGCTCCACTTCATCATATTCTTACCACACTTTTCCATTTTAGCCACAATATTTCTCATATTTATGTCGATGTTCAATAACAAAATCGTTAAACCCCGATTCATCTAACCAGGCATTCTCGAATTTGAAACCATTACAAGTCATATATTGTTTCGAACTCGCTTCACAACATAACATAATTGAATAATGATCTGAAGTAGTATACATTAAACATTTTACCTTTGCGTCTGAAAATAAAATACACCAATCAATGTTAGACATTGATCTACCTAATTTTTCTTCAATAACTTTATATGTTCCCAGACTCTTGAACCACGTAAAGGAATACCCCTCCATAGGGACATCCTCTAATCCTGCATCTTGAACAACTTGTCTAAAACCACTTATTAACCAATTTGGCCTTTCCACTCTCCCTTTTTTCTCTACAAATGAAATAATATCATTAAAATTTCCCAAAATACACCATGGTAAGTTTGAACTTTCTGAGAGACTCTGAATTAAATTCCACGAAATCCTCCTAGAAGTTCCTTCAAGATGACCATAAAAGCATGTAAGTCTCAAATTTCCACATTTGGCGTCTTGGACTATAATATCAATATGATTACGAGAATAATTTTGAATAGTACAAAACATAGAATTCTGCCATAAAATTGCCACACCACTTTCCCGACCTTCTCGATGAACAATAAAATAACAATCAAAACCCAACAAATACCACAACTCTTCAATTTTATTAGCATTGCTTATTGTCTCATACATAAATAATATTGGGAATCAGTTGCGAGGAAGAAGTCTCATATTAATTAGAAAAAGGAAGATTGAACACTTTATAAGTGGGAGAACTCACACACCTATCACCTTAAGGTGATAAGGTGATAGGTGAGTGAATTTTCCCATTTATAACATTTATTTTTTCTATCAGACCAGATAATCAGTGTCCACCAATATTACTGCCACACCATAAGAAATCTTAGGTGACACCTTTAAAATGATAGTCTTCCATTATGCTATATTATTGATTGATTTTTTATATATTGAAAATTTTCCAAAAGACATACCTTACATTTACATATCACAATTATATCTATATTTTTATCTTAAATATTCATTAACCAAGACGTTACAATTGTTACTGATCTTACTTGATCAGACTTGGACCGTCACGACTGGCTCTGAGCTGAAGTTGAACGAGATGGGGGGGGGGGTACCTGCAAGGCACTCCGATGCTAAAGTGAGTGGTAGTACGAGCAGGAAAAAAGTGTGTATATGGGTAAGAGAATGAATACCTGGCCCTCTTGGAACAGAGGGTATTTATAGCCCCCAGCGCTGGGCCAAGGTCCCTTCATTGGGCCGACCAGGATCGGCCCAATAGAGGAACTGCTAGGTTCTACGTGTGTAGTGGGGACCCGCACGTGGTCTCCTTCCTGGTGATGCTCTACGAGAAGTACGGATGGACGAGGACGCGGTCTTTTCGGAGTTCAGGTGATGGGGTAACGGTCGTAGTCTGCCCTACGAGGAGGGTGCTCGAGCTGGGCTCGAGCTGGATTGTATGTGGTCGAAGACGTTGTATTCGCGGGTACGGCGGGCACGTCTGTAGCTTCTGGTCGACGAGCTCCTTGTAGAGTTATTTGGATTAGGCCTTCATTCTTCCTCTTAGGCCAACCCAGGCCCAGTCCAGAACAGGAGCCCCCCAAGTCGTGGCTCTTGGAGCAGGAGTTATGACTTGATCTCAACTTGCCTTTGTCACGGGGCCTCGGGCTCGGCCAGGAGATTTGGTTCCCCGTGGTTGCTTGAGGAGCTCCCCCTGTGTCACGTTCGTGAGATAATTCCTTTCGAAGAGCGCTCGGGGGACTCTCGACGGTCTGTGTTCGTTGAGTACACGAGGCAACCCTTGGGAACCGTGACGCCACCCTATTGGGGATAGAGTCATCATTGCCTAGGGGAGCTATGCGTCGAGGAGGGGAAGTTCGTGGTTCCCTGGGGTGACATTTCGTATTCCAGGTCATCACTATAAATAGGATCCTTGGGTCCCATAATATGTTTTTCCTCTTCGCGCTTCTCCTCCTTCCTCTGCCTTTGCTGCTGCTGTTTTTCCAGATTTTCATAGGACCGCCGTGCTTTCCGCTATCGATTTTCTTCTCCGCCGCCGTACCTCTTTCCTGATTTCAAGTAAGCGTCTCATCCCTCATGTTTTTCTCTGTGGTAGATGATTTTTTCCATTGTTTGTATGTTAGAAAATTTGCGTCTGGAATTAGCCCCGGTACATTCGTATTTTTTCCCGGCATATCCTTGTTTATGCCCGGTAAACGCATGTTTGTGCCCGATAAATGTATAGTTTAGGCATGTGACTCGCAATGCTGCCCGGGATCTTCATGATTCAGGGCGCCTAACTCGTGATAGTGCCCGGTAAAATCATAGTTCTAGGTTTAGGATTCATGATATTGCTCGTCATATCCATAGCTTAGGTCGACGTACTCGTGACTGGCCGGGATGTTAGCCCATTTAGGCAATATGTAGGACGACTTGTCGTGGCATCTTGGCGTCGGGGAGGTGATACCAGACTTTTGTTCGAATCCTCAACGTTTTAGTCGTGTGTGGAGTATGACTCAGCTTGCCGTTCCCTTCTTCCCGTCAGTTATGGTGAGCGTATGGATTTGCTCCCCAATTGACCGGTTTCTTGTGCTTTGCAGGTAACAATGGCTGACGAACCGTGTTCCTCGGGGCGCAACAAGGTGGAAGACTAAAGCACCGAGGAAAATGTGAATCTGATCGATACCATTAACGATCCTTTGCTAGAGTGGGTGCTGAGCCCAGAGGGATTACTTCTGCTTATAGTCAGCGCAGTCGGAGCGCGTATACTATCGTCGAGCAAGGCGGTAGTCAGCTGGGCTTTCAGAAAAATTTTGTCGTCACCAGACCGTCTCTTAACGCACGGATCTGCTCGGAGTTCTCTGAGTACGGGTTTCCTATGTATGAGACCGCGTTTAAGGACCTTGGCCTAAAGCTCCCCTTTAGTGATTTTCAGGTCGGGGTCTTCAGTCATTTGGAGCTGGCTCCCTCGCAACTTCACCCCAACTCGATTGCTTTTATTCGGGCATTCGAACTGACGTGTCGCTTTTTAAGGATTGGGGCGACCATACCTCTTTTCTTCAGAGTCTTCCATTTACAACGCCAGTCTCGGGGAGGTAGGCACAGTTGGGTTTCCCTGAAATAGTCGAAGAGGCTGTTCAGGATGTATATGGATTATGTCTGGGGGTTCAAGGACAAATGGTACATCGTGCGGCCGGTCACCAAAGCTGCTCTAGAGTCTGTATACGAGGAAGAAACTGTGGTGACTGACGATCACGGGGAGGCTCTTCTGGACAACAAGGGTCTCCCGGTGTTGGGGCGTGTAGCTAAGTTTCCCTTGCATTAGAGCTCGCGCCACTACGAGCAAGGCACCGGGCATTACCATACGCCTGCGGGCGGGATGAGCACCGAAGATGAGGAGGCCTATGGTACTCTCTGTAGATATGTCGACAATTTCTTCCCTGCCCGGTGGGCCACGAGGGAGGGAAAGGACATTCTCGACGAAGATGGTTACCCGACCTTTGAGGCCCGACCTATAGATACAAAGGCGCTTGTGGAGTGTCAGTCCTACGGGCAGGCCGCGAACCTGCTAGGTTATTTTTTGTCTTCTAGTCTTGTTCGAATTTCCTCGTTTGTTACTTGCTCGTAACTAACCCGAGTTTCTTTTTTTTGCAGGTCACATGGCTGGACGAAAGGAGAGGCTTCTGAAGTTAACACAGGATAAGAAAGTCAACAAAAGAGTGGTGCGAGCTCCTCAGGTGACGAGGATAGGCCCACCAACTAGCTCGGGTGATGCTTCTGGAGGGTCCCCAGACGCTCAGGATGTCAAGCCTCATATTGATCTGATACTGAGGAAGAGGAACCGGGTAGAGAGCTAGTCGGAAGTCGGCGATGAGTCTGGCGCGGTGAGGTCCTTTGGCTTGCCTCCCTGCTTTAAAGAGGAGGGCTTCTTTGAGGGGTTTCCCCTGACTGTAAGCGCCGATGAAGCTGATACTATTAGGCGGCTAAGTAAGGAGAGTCGGAGAAAGCATCTGGCCGCCAACATGGTCGGGATGGTCAAGATGGCCGTCGTCCTGGCCGAGGAGGGGGTAGACTCTGATCGCGTCAAAGAGCTGGAACAAGAGAAAGCTGCCCTTACTGCGAGCTCATGAAAGTTGAAGGCCGCCCTGGAGCACTCTGAGGAGATGTTCCCCAAGCAAGCCGAGCTGCTGGTCACGGAGAAAGAGAGCTCGGGGAAGGTTGCCGAGGAGAGGGACTACTTTCGTCTAAACTGGGAACGTTTGGAGATCGACAACGGGCGTCTTTCCAGAGAGGTCGAGGAACTGAAGGCCATCATG